CTGGGCTGTGCAGCGACAGCAATGTTCCATTTCCAATTAAGCCCATCTCAGAGGTAGAGTGGACCACACATTCCCACAGAGACCCTGGGAGGTATCCTCGGGGCAGGGAACCCAGGGCCAAGTCCTCACCGTGGAAGATAGCCCGGCTGGACCGAACTTGGAGCCACATACCTGCTCACACATGGCCTGCCAAAAGTCTCACATGTGCATCCACTTCTTGTAGCTATGGCAACTAAAACATGCAAAAGCAACACTTTTTGCACAATATCACATGTTGCTTAATGTTTGGACACTGATATTTTCTCCAGCTGGGTTTTTCTTAATTTAAGTCAACAAATCAATCTGGAGAAACACATTGCTTGTGTTTAGGATCCAAACTAAAATGGGAAGACTTGGGGATGTGTGAGGTGTGTGTGCACTGGGGAGTGACTTGAGTCCCACTTAGACACAAGGAGAGAAGCAGGAAAGCTCCCCAGCCCATCTGGTCCCCTCCTGCCCCTCCTGCCTCATGCCAGGGCACCCGTCTCTTTGGTGAGAAGTCAGAACACACATACTACACAGACCTGCCTCAGATACTCAGATGCGCTTCACGGGACTAACTCAGACCTGGCAAAATAATTCCAGCCACTCTTTAGATGCTGTCTTGCTCTTTCTTCACCTCACTGCATCAGTTTGACAATGAAAATCTGGAAGTTCTGTGCTGCATCTTCAGGTCACAGTCAAAACAGGTTCCCTGTGAGGCCAAGCACCTTAGTCTACAAAATGTGCCTCACATACCACGTCCCCCACATGGTAGGGACTTCCAATAATCCCTAAAATGGCAGCCTGAAAATGGTATTTAATGGGATGGCCTTCTTTATTTCTCTCTTAGGCTCCCAAGAACATTGATACCATACTGTACAGGATCAATCTTAATTACCATCCATGTGGAATTTTTTCTTGTGGCTTTTTTCAATGAAAAAAACATTAATGAGAAACTTTAAAGGCTTGTTAACAGTGTCCTTTCATCAATCAAGGGTGCTGTCAGGCCAGGCTCTGCTGTCAATTTGCACCTCACTGCCCAGCATCCACTTCCTACTTTCTCATCCACTCCCGGTCCCCACCCCCACTACAGATCCTTGTTGGAGCTGCTATGGATGATGGAGGCCAGACGTTCCCCATCTGTCAGCAGCTGGAGCCACAGGGTCCTGAGGACTCTGGACGGCCGCCCTCAGTCACCTGGAGACAAGTCTGGACCTGCAGTTTCTCCAGGCTGGGGCCCTGGCTTTTGAGTAATACCTCCCCCTTATTTCATGCAGACAGACGGACAGACAGGTGCTGTTTGGCAGAGGCCTTCAGCAGAGTCCTGTGTATATCTGTGTCTTTCACACTGATAAATGAAGTGCACATGAAAATTCACTTTCTCTAATTCAAACTTTTAATCAAGCACCCATGAACAAGAAAGAAAAACCCAGGTGGCTGGAGGAAGGCTAAATAAATTTAAGCTACCACATGAGGGCCATCAAGTGCCCTCTGCAACCCTACTGCCACACATCAGCAAGAAAACACACACAAACAAGATATGTGGAAATCCGAATTTGTCCCACCGATAGGAAACTCGAGGTAAATGGTTTAGTTTCCCAACTAGATTTCTGTAAAAATCTTTAGAGTAAAAGAAACTCTCACTGTGTCTCACATTAAGTCAATTTATCTATCATTTCTGAATCCTCCTACATGCTGTTTGAAACTCAGCACAAAGATTTTTGGCAAGTTCCAGAGGGAAATGAACAATTTTCATGTGGGTTTAGCTGTGACTTCCTGCCTATTCTGATGGTGGTGAGGTCCCTGCTGGTAACACCTGCCCAGTTACAGCAATGGATACCACACAGACAAAGTGGGCAGGATGGGAGACAGATCTGGGGTTACAACAGAACCTGTGGGAGTTTCACCTGGTTGCAGAAATCTCCCTGAACAAGCCCCTTGAGATTGTCCCTGATCCCTCAAGGCTCCCACCAGTCACATATCAAGGAGGGTTCTAAGCAATCTGTATGCAGGTTTTTGTTTTTAGTCTGCACTTTTATAGGAAGTAAATTCTGGGTAACACTGGTTTTCACGAATGATCTAAGAAACAAAGTTAGATGGTTTCCATATGAACATACCTATGTTGAACATGCTTTGGCTCCTTCTGATGGCATTAGGGATTACTAGGCAGTAGTAGAGAGCCATGGGGTAAAGATTTATACTGGAAGAAACCCAGATGATTTGGATCTCTAGCACATGATAGAGCCAGTCAGAGTTGTTTAGGAAGTTGTCTGCTGTGCAGAAAGTGTCAAGAGTTAAAATTCCAATTAAGTTACCTAGAAGGTGAGCCACTGTTTCCTCTGAAAAGCCCACTTCCTACAACTGTTGATTCTGGAATTGCAAAAAACAACCACTCCTGCAGTTCTGCAAACTCTCTCATAAAAGCCTTCAGAGTTCCTGATTGGGTATCAGCCAATACCATTATAGCCACACGCGCACAATTATAGTTTTTCTTCTCTGGGTGTAAAGACTTAAGCTCTTTCATTTCATCACCTCACATGCCATGGAACACAGCGAAGTGGGTGAGGTTTACTTGCCTCGTGTCCCTAGTGGGAAGACAGGGAGAAAAACACCCCCCTCACCCCTGCAAAACAGCCTCCTGCCTGGCCAAGGGCATCTATTCCACTATAAGTGTGGTTCCCCAAGAACAAATATTGTTTCTGAGTCTTTCACTGCCTTAGTCTCTGGAAGTGGTGAGAACAGCGTGGCTGGCAGGAGCAGCAGCGGTTGTCATGCTGCGTGGGTCTCCACGTCAGCATTCAAATCACCACAGTGCTGGACAGGGAGACCCGGCTGGTGAGGGGCATGCTGGGCCAAGGCCAGAAAACACAGCTTTTTTGTTTCAACATATCTTTTATTTGGAAAATATTTTTGTATTTCTTTATGCCTTTCCTTTTCCTCTTTACTTTCACAAGCTGCGCTGCAACCTCGAGCCAAAGCGGCTCAAGGCAACCCGTGCTGGTGTTTCATGTCGGCCTCTGCAGAGCTTGTCCTCGGATCAGTACACAGCCACGGTGGCAAGGCCTGCTGCCTCTGTCAATGGCCACCTCAGGGCATCTGTCGAGCCTGTTATGACAGCGGCAAGGAAACCTTCAGAGATGAGAACAGAGGTGGTTTTTGTACTGCTCCAAGGGTACAGCCCAAACAGCCCTACACACAGTTCCAGGCTGCATGAAGCTGCCAGGTCTTGCTGGTGGCTTTGATAAGGTGAGTGCTCTGGCCACATGTAGCTGATCCAGGCTGGGGGCTCAGTCTCTCATGACTGCATATCCCCAGGTCTCTTTCAGAGACTCACCCTACTTGAAATCTTGGAGATCACACAGGAGACTCCCGTTGTGCTGGGCACCCAGGTGCTCCGAGTCCAGAAAGGTGGTCAGTGGACAGGGTACATACCTGCTCACCCATGTGTGGGTGCGGGAGGCAGCCTGGAGGCCTGTCTTGGAGCAGGTTCTACCCTGCTGCCCACATTCAAACTCATCCTAAAGCAGAGCGAGGCTGGGGTCTCCCACAGCACACTGCAGCCACAGTGCCCTCTGTTGGAATGCATGCACACAGAACACAGGCAGGCAGCCCAGGGCCTGGAGCTGTGCCTTTGAGAACCAGAACTCTGTGCTGTTAAGGCAGAGGAAAAAGGCAGCAGCCAGTGCTTGCTGGTGACTCTCAGGTGCTGGGGAGACATCTGCATAGCACAACCCTTGAATAGCCCCTGACACAGGGGGCACCCTGACCCTTCCCATGCATCTTCCTGGCCCCCTCTGCTCTCACAGTGACATAAGGTAATAAAATGAGCTAAAACACCCCAGTGAGGCCAACAGGAGTGTTAGTGTTCACAACTCATGGTGTGACAGCCTAGGACACTGTCCTGAGAAACCAGATGTCTACATGACCTGTCACGTGTGAGACTCAACTTGCTTCATAACAGTTGAGAATGACCAAGTGCAGAAAAGTGGGTACTGGTCATATCATTTTGTGTTCAAGGAAACATATCCAGAAGTAGTTTGTAAGACAAGGATATAGTAAAGTGTAAGCTAGGGAGAAAGGCCTGAAGCTTATTTTCCTGGGTGCAATACCAGGCATATACAGACCATGCAGTTATGAAGTTACATTTCTATCCAGGTTTCAGGGACATGTGCAAACCACTTGAGCTTCCCTGCTGCAGTTCACACTGGCACAGAGAAGCCGGTATAAAAACATATCTTTCTGCAGCACAGTTGGGTGCACTTTATTTTCTCCATACATCATGCACTCTGTTTTATTCATCCATATTCAGAGTTACAGGTTTTTCCTCCACTTTTTGGACGCAGTTAACTTTAAAGCTAAAAGGATGACAAAGTGTTAGATTGTGTTATAAGGCAGATTTGTAAACAGGTCTCAATGGCATTGAAGGTGTGAGCTATGTGTGACCTTGCACTTCTAGGCCAACTCTAGGAGTTGACCTGCTTTTCTTGAGACCTCCTGGAGTGGTTTGTGTCTTCCCTGACTCTCAGAACATGTTAAGCCAAGGATACCAAGAGAGACAAGGATCTGGGTGAGATCTGAGCACCTAAAAAGGTGCCAATTCAGCCAAACCCATGTCCTAGGAGCTACCTGTCTTCCCAAATCTTTTTGGAAGATAGTTATTTTCTATTCAATTGATCCTGACTGTCTTGTATCAGCTGTCTGGCAGCTGCAACAACAAAGCTAGACACCTCTCCAGAGCACCTGCTTCCCTGGCTTGTCCCCTTCCCTTCAGGAAGACTTGAGCATGGAGCACTCAGAGCTGAGTGTGAGTCACCATCTCAGCAGGACAAATGGCCAGGAAGGAAGGAAGGGCCACTTGGGGACCCCGCTGGGTGAGGGTCAGCTGTTCAGTGTGAACAGTCTGGGGCAGCCAGCTGTTGCCTGTGGGTGCCAGATGCTTCCCCTTTCCCAGGCAGGGGCCTAAGTTTTGCCAGGCTTTCTCCACTGTCCCCATTTTAATGGACATTAAAAATGGAACAATAACCACATTAGAGAAGGGAACAAATGATACGCACAACGGCTGGTCATCTGAACTCATTCTGTTGTAAATGTAGAAACAAGAAAGGGTAGACACGCCATGTCCCCCAGGACACATCTGGCTCTTTTAATATAGTGGTGCCACCACACATCCTGCTTCCGATGTGGCATTACATTCACGTGTCACTCAAATGTTTACGTTGAATACAAACACTCAATTTCGGCCAGTGAGCTGAGAGCTGGTGGTGCCACTGGCTGCGCTGAGCCTGGGTGCAACCAGACCCAACTCCTTGCGGGCTGGCTTCCCTACCCAGCTGCCTTCATGGGCCAGAAGCCACTCCTTCACAGCCCGTCCTCCGGTGTAGTGGCCCATGGTTCCATCACTGCAGATCACTCTGTGGCATGGGATGAGGATGGGGACCTGAAAAACAGGGGCCACCACCATTATTTTGGCTCTGGGATAGTGAGGTCTTTGGGAGTCAAGAGCAAGACCCTGAGCAAAACTGGTCTAGCACTTACTAGGCAGGGCTCATGCCAGGCAGGCTGCTGGCATGAGGTGCTAGTGCCGGCTCTGTGTCAGCACCCCCACCTCCATCCCCACAGAAGCCTTCAGCTGGGAGCCCTAAACAGGCTGTAGGGACACATGCCCTGTGGTGTGGGATGTGGGGCCTTGTCCAGAAAATACCCTTTACACCAAGTTTTGGGAGGAGAAAACTTACCTTCATGTGATGAATAACTTATTACATATGTCTTCAAAAGTTAAAATTAAATTTCTGAGGTCAGGATGGGATGTAACCTTCTCAGATATCCTTGGCTTTGACAGGAAGAGTCAGGGATGATGCTACTTGACTAGCCAACTGCAGCTATAGGCCTGATTCCATGAATACTTTGGTTTTAAAAATATGGTTTTATTGGAACACAGCTGTGCCCTTGGTATATACTGTATATGGCTGCTTTGTCAAACCCTGAAATAGTCACACAACCGCCCGAGCCCATCACAAGAACAGTTGGCTAAAGCCTGTTTATTCTGTATTAGTATTGAGATATCTTCTTTTCCCCTCATCTTTGGGAAATTTTAGAGGAATCTGAGTGGCTCCAGCTTCGATCCCTTCCCCTCAGAGGCTCCCATGGCCAGCCCATGCTTGGATAGGGCTGGTCAGCTGGCACCATCTAATCCTAGCATAACCCCCAGACCAGAGCTCTCACCCAGACAGATGGTGTGGATTCCCCACTCAGCTGGTTTGGGGAGGGAGGGCTGCCTCTAGCTTTCAATCTTCAGAGGGACAGAGAATGCCATGGCCCATGGTCTGTGGGGTCAGCCTCTGTGGCCCTCCCTTGTAACCATGTGGAGGGACAATGCTGGCTTCAACTGCCCTCACCCACAAGGAAGGAGGGACAATAACTCAGGGAGCTCAGCACTTTGTGGGTTCCTGCAGGTGACCTGCCTCCCCATTGGTGCAAGGTATTCTGATTATTCCTCAGAGGGTTGGTGCATTCCTTGGTTGGGGAGGTCTGAGCCCAGCCAGTAGGGCCGGTAATAGAAGTCTGATTCTGGTGGGAATTGCTGGAAGACACCATGGCCATGTCATCTGCTCTCCATTTCCTGCTTGGCTTAGAGCACAGGTAGAAAAGGCAGGGGTGGGATCAATGGCCCCCTGAAAGCCACAGTGAGTGGAGTCGCCTCTGGTTGCCCACCTGTCTTCCTAAGTGGCAATAGAAACAGTTCAGAGCATGCTCAGCATGCCAGGCAGGGTCACACACGAGTCACCAAGAGTAACATCCTGTCTGTACACTGCAGGGGATCCCAGGAGGCTCAGCAGCCATTTCTGCTAAGGATCCCAACAAGTAGCTCCTAAGAAGAGTGGTTCTGGACTCATTTCATAGGAGAGCCATGTAGTGGGAGCTCAGCAAGGTCCTATGTCCCTAAGGAAGAGGTCTGTGTGAGAGTCCCTGGGGGAACAGACTTCAGCCATATATGGCTCAGTGGCTGGGAAGAAAGGACCCAGGTCCTCAGCCACCAAAGCCCTGAGACATGTGTGGTGACATGTCTCAGCATTGAGGAAAGTGTTATGATAGCTGCTCTGTGGCGAAGGTAAAATGCCAATGAGTACAACTACAGGAACAGGTGCCAGCTCCAGAGAGGTCAGGAGGATTCAGGCTCACTGCCACAGGAAGGCCCACAGCAGGTGCTACCCTGCTCCAGCGGCCTGCCTGACAAGAAACACAGCCATTCCCACAGGACTCCAAGGGTGAAGATTCCCCAGACTGTTGCGGGATACTAACCTGACTCCCACCTTTCTTTCTCCCTCTCATCTCGCAGTTCGGAGATCTCTTGTCTCTTATGCACTCTCTGCCTTTATCCATCCCCCCAAGGAAAGCAAACTGAACAAAGTGACCAATTACTGGTTAGTTGTTTCTAAGAGATGCTGCACCCAAAATCTCTGAACCCTGTCTCTGGGAACCTTCTGCTTCCTGGGATGTTGCTTGCTACTTTGCATCACTGAAGCCCTCACTGTGGGCAGCTCTGTGGTCCTCACCCACCAGGCTGTATCTGCCAAGCATTTCCCTTTGTAAAGCTCAGTCACACATGTCCCAGGGGCTTGGGGTCATCTCAGCCCCTGTGCTGGACACAAAGCCACCCAAGGTCATAAGACTGTTAGGAGGTAAAAAAAAAAAAAAAAGGGTTTGGCAGAGTCTGAAACCATCCACTGTCATCGTGACAGCTCCAAATGTGCACTGCCTGCCTCTCCTTGAAGTGGGACTGATGCAGTGGGGGTGGGTCTTTGTGGACTGGTTAGCAGGTAATCGGGCTTGGGAGACAGGGATTTGGCTTCCCTCACCCCACAAAGCCCATCCTGGTCTGACTACAAGTTTGGGTTACTGTGGTGACAGGCGCAGATGTCTAAGAGAATCACAGGGACCATCAGCATGATGTAGGGGGAGGAAAGGAGACTGACTGTTCATGTGGAGCTGAACAGGTTCAAAAGTGGACACTCTGCCATGGACCTCTGACAGCATCCAACCCCAGACTCCCAATCTCCTTGGAAGGAGCAGCAGAAAACATTAAAACGGAATACTTATTCTGATGGGTGGCTTTTTGCCATTACCGCAGATTGAACTCAGAGCTTTTGTACTAAATTATAGCCTTCACCTTTTGCATTTTTAGTCAGGGTCGCACTAAGTCACTAAGTTGCTCAGGTTGGGTTTGAACTTGCAATTCTCTTACTTCAGGTCCCCAAAGTGCTGAGATTACAGGCATGTGCCACCATGTCTAGCTAATTGGCGGCTTCTGTTAAGACACAATAGTCACATTAACAATTTCTATTGAGGACAGTATTAGATATTACCTAATTTTAAGAGTACCATTACCTAATTAAATAAGAGTATCATTTAACTTAATCTAGCTTACAAACACTTAGGCACAAATTCTATTTTCCTACCTAATGGTAGACTTCACAGCTGAACTTTGATTTTTCTCCCTTCCCTCTTAACACACTATGAAATTATCCAAAGGAGTAATAAAAATGTCTCTATCCCCCCTCTGTGTATCAATACAAAGATTGAACTGATGGCAAATAATGACAGACAACTATGGCCAGTCTTCACCTTGTGTCTTCAGTGAGGGGGACAGGTCACTAATATGCACTGCTTTTAGCACAGAAACGGCACCACTGGTTTTGGTGGTAGGTTTCTGACTATTAAAACAATGAAACCACTAAAATTTATTGGGGCCCTAAGGACATTTTCAAAGGATCTTTACCCTCTACGCCCTCTTCTTTAAAGCCTGTGCTGCATAAAATGTAATTTTTATCAATAACCAAGAAGCTCATAATATCACAGCTGCATTGAAATCTTCATGCTGTGAAATCTAATTCATCCAATACACGAATCCATCACTTATGCAGACCCTCTCTCAAATGCTATAAAACTTCCAAACCCATAGATTTGTCTCCAACAAAAATAACATGAAGGGGCCTTTCAATCAATAATGGAATCCCTCTGATTCTGGAACTGGCTGAATATTTTTTCCAACTTCGCCTTTGTTCTTCTGGGTAGAGCCCACAAGGGAAAAAGCTTGTTTTCACTCGCAGCCTCATCAATACCTAAATCCTGGTGAACAAGTGACACCGAGAAGTTGTAATCAATAGCTCCCTGTGCGTTTTTTTCTTCTGGTCAAATGGTTCAGCTCCACTGACAACCCTGACACTTAGAACATGATGCTAAATCTTTATCAACAGCCATCTGGGTGACTGGCAGAACAAGACTCGGGGGGTCATCAACGCTCATGGCAATCTGAGAATAAACTAACTCCTCAGGAATGCGTTTGTTTAGAAAAAAGTGGGAAACTCTCCGTGCATGTATTGATTGACTCTGAACTGCATTTAGCAAATTCTGTCTGAGGATGGAGTAGAAGGGGGTGTTGTGGGGTGGGGGTTGTGAGGAGTCTTCAACTCGATACAGTAGAACACTGACCAGCCTCTTGGGCTGAGTGGGGCACAACCTTCCAGAAGGCTGCTTGATCACCCCATGGGCTGGTGAGTCCTGCCTGGAAAATTTGGAAGAAAACAAGCTCTAGGACAATAGAGATTCCCACACCACAAAACCCGTTCCCTACTCTGGGAAAGGGGCATAAACTTATACTCACAACCAGTGCTGTGACAGGAACAGCATATGGTCATGTTTATTCTGGCACCTAAGGAGTTAGTGCAGCATGGTGCTTATGGTATTTGTAACATTCTGAATCCATTTTTTTTCACCCTTACTCTCTTAAATGCACAACTGTTCTTCTAGGCCTGAATAGGAGAGGCATTTTCTGTGAGCTCCTCAACTTGCCATCATTGGAGCAGGGTGATGTTTACAGTTCTCCACCTGGGCCTTGCTGCCAGCACCACTGGGAGATACCCACTGAGGACAGAGATATCAGGCATGGCCCATCTTGAGCCAGGGCCTTTTCTCTCTTGAGTCCCTGGGTCACTTTCTGACCCTCTTATCCCATTCAAGGTTTTCAGGGGATCTTTGTGGGAACATACCATGTGAGCTACTGTACCATGTGCAGCTACAGGTTATCTTGTATTCCAGACAAATCTTATGTGCATATATGGCAGCTCCAGGTACTATAGCAAACTTCTGCACAAGCTGAAGGTTCCCGCATGAGTTCAAGTCCATAGAAAGGCCACGGAAGAGACTTAGTAGCACCCAGGCTGCTCCTGACACAAGAGGGATAAGGATCCTGAGAGGGGGAGACAGCTGCTTGTGGAAACTTCCTTCTGATTCTGTTATCACCTCTTTTCCCAGTTTTAGCACACAACTGGGATGTCGATATGTACACATGAGGCATTAAGAGTTTTAAAGGCTGCGAGATTCTTTTAAGTGACTGAGGCTATATCTGAACAGAGACATTCACAGAGATTAATACCAGAAGAATCACATTTGTTTGCGGAATAAATATTCCTGAATAATGCCATGAGCAGGTCACTAACCAGTAATGGCATTTCCACTGCAGAGTGAGTAGAAACTTTTGGTGTCACAAAAGGCAGGTGTGTGTGGGGTTTCTAACTTGTATATGTCAGTCAGTGGAACTTGTTTCTACAGCAGAAGCAGCAAGTTGCACAGATCGAGGAAGCAAGGGGTATTGGTGCTACTGACGGGACAGCTCCTACCTTCACACGCACACACAGGGCTTCAGGGACCAAGTAAAACTGCTTCATTCCCAGACAGGCCACATGAAATCGTATTTGTGTGTTGTATCCTGCTGCAGGAATGACCAGAGGAACACAAAGCCATCTTCTCTACCTTTACATCTGGAGACACTCACATCTCAGTGAAGAGAAAGCCAATTCCACCCCAAGGGCAGAAGAGGAGAAGCACTTTCTGAAACAGTAGCTTGCAATGATGTGGAAAGAGGGTACAAAAATGTTATCTGACAGTGTTTTCATGGGGCATTAAACAGAGCCACAGCATTTGGCCTGCCTCTATGTGTAGCAAAGCCAAATGCCTCAAACTTGAGTTATGACCTAGGAGAGGATGGTGGCCTTCCAAAGGGAAGACGGGTATCAACCTTTGGTGGGAGATGTCAAAAACCATCTTTAGAAATTAGACTTGGAAGCATCCAACAGGCACTATAAAAATTCACTGGAAGTGAGCACCCTGTGATTAGCATATAACAGGTGCAAAAGGAAACATTATTATGCCACTCGATACTGTCACCAAAACCCAGGACAGGAGCTAGGGAGTGATTGAGTATGGTCCATGTTGCGTCTGGCTCCAGACAACTTGGTGTATTTCAGCAGGGCAGGCAAATTCCCCCTGAGGAGAGTGCACACTGAGACAGTGCATTCCACCATAAACCCACAGGAGCTGCTTCTTCAAGAATAACAATGCAGTCTTGTGCAAAAGGCTACGTAATTGCCATCTCCTAGAAACCAGAGGGCTCTGCCCTCAGGCTGCCACAGCGCCTGGTAGGAGCAGCCGGTGGTGGTGTGAAAACGCCTGTTCTCCCTTGTGAGCAGGGATGAAAATAGTTTTAAAAATATACAGCAAAGCCACAGATATTTTTTTAAAAAGTAGGGTCTATCTGATTTAGTAATTTCCCATCCCATGATACAATGATCACATTTGCTCTCCCTGATAAGATGGTATTCCTCTATCATATTAGAGACTCGAATAGCTTTAGGGAGAAACCGTTACTAACTTGATAGCATACCCTCACTGGGCACGGGGGCGCTGATGAGCAAGAACATTCCACGGGGCTCTCAGGGTGGTGCAGGGTGGTGTGTGTGTGGTTTCTAACTTGTGTATGTCAGTCAGTGGAGCTTGTTTCTCATGTACACTGCCCCTGTGGGTTGTGTGGGGGCCCTTCCTGCTCACTCATGGCAGGCTATGGGGCCTCCGCCTGGCGCACATCACATGCTGCAGGTGACATCCATGCTCACACAGGATGGCAAGGGCCATGACTATAGAGCCAATGTCCCCACTATGCTGGCACCACTGCTGGGCAACAATCCCCACCCCTCTACGGCATGTCCTGTCCTCTGCAAGCATGGTCAGGCCTTTCTGTGGGTGCTTGGTAAGATGTGACTACAGACTCTTGGAGGGACAAGGATGGCCCAGAGGGGCTAGCCTGGTGAGACATCTTGTGGATACAGCAAGTTGTCCATGTTGCAGGGTCTTATACCTCCTGTGTTCATGCCCATGAGACCTAGGAAATGCTGGGCCTCAGTGACAATGTAGTACCCAGGGAAGTTACACCATTTTAGCTATAGCCTCCTAGCAGGAGTGAGGCAGGTAGGTGGGCCTCTTGGTCTGTTGTGACTTCTACTGTACTCATGGCATTTGGAAGAGTGTTGCCTGCACAACAGGCAACCAACATACTCTACTGTGCAGCGAGTGACTGAACAAGTGGACAAATGAATGGAACCTCCTTCCCGTCCACTTCTCTAGGCTCCACCCTTTTACATGCTCACTGCCATGGTCAGAGGCTCAAGTAGCTGGAGCACAATGGGCTCTATCACAGATGTTGCCTCTCCTCCCCACTCCAGCTGCACAGGTTGTCTCTGAAACATGTTTAATCAAATGACATTTCACCCTCAAGTATCCACTTGTCCTTGGCCAGCCTGACACCCATGCCTCCAGAACTTACAGGATTGCTTCTCATTGCTCCTCCCACTGCGCGAGCTGCTTTGGGGTTGCCTGCCAGGGCTGCTAATTGCTGGTAAGAAACCATTTCTCCAAATTTCACAACCTTCAGCAGTTTCCATAACACCTGTCTGGTGAATGAATCTGAAAGGAAGAATACAGAATGATGTTATTTGGACAAACGGCTCCAACAGCTCTGATATAAATAGCTGCCAGTCCTGGAGCAGAAAATGCAACGACACAAATAGAGGTGTTACATTCAATTAAAACACATCCTCTACACAGTGCCCTGTCACCAAGTCACAGGCCAGGAAAAATGGGAGGGAAGCACACACAAAGCAGCTAGGCCCCTCAGAAGGCCTCCATGTCTCTGCTCTCAGATCTGTAAATTCCTTCCACTTTTCTATGTTCCATGCAGGACTTCCACATGGCACTCTTCTGGAAGGTGAGCACATATGCATTCATGAACAGCTAATTAATAAGCAGAGAAGTCCCTGCCTGCCTACCTATTTGGAAGTTTTTTGGACTGCTGGTTAATTTCCAACTTCAGCTGGGACACAGAAGGCAAAAGTAGCCAGGGACAGTGCTGAGGTATTATGCTAGCTGTGCACACCTAGCAGTGGGCAAGAGAGCCTTCAGCCTCTGCTCTGAATGCCAGACGCCCTGGTATGTGGGTGGGTGGGTGGTGACCTTGGTTACAGGCATCTTTAATGAGTAGGGCTGCACAAATAAAACAATGCTTTCCCACTTTAATTGGTCACATCAAATCATATGCGCTCTGCTTCCTGCTACAGGAATGACCAGGGAAACATGTGGCCACTGTCCCTCCCACCATCTCAGGGTTTTAGAAATGCTTCCTGGGTGTGAGGCGTGCAGGGCAGAAACCCAGGCACATGAAGGAGGCCAGTCTGAATCGATACCTATTGTCTTTCCAGGGGGACACATGGCTCGGGAGCACTGGAAACAGACACATCCTCCATCCCACTGGCTCAAAGCACTCTGGGGACAGGAGTTTGTGAATGGTGACAACAAAGGGGAGGACTCTGTGGGCAGGAACGACGTTTCGGAGTGTGTCCATGAGAGCATTCATTACACTTGGTGCCAAGCTGGCAAAGTGTGATTTGGTTCTTAAAGGAAACACACCCTTACATGCATGTTAAATAATAAAAATCACTTCTTAACTGAAGGGTACGATAATCACTTCACTGGGAAAAAAATCTGTTTAGTCTTTATTATAACATTAAGCAAATTAAACATCAGCATAATCCAGGTGATACTAGAAAAGGGTCATCAAAGAAATTAACTTTGTTGTTCATTAATTTACATGGATTAGTAGAGGGCAAAAAGATAGCAAATGTGCTCTAGTTTTTGTGATATAATTTCAAACTGTACACCATTTGTGGCAGGAGGGTGACTTTGGGGTTAATCAGACTGATTTGTCCTTTTAATTGCTTTCTATTCAAAGAAAATTCATTAGATAATGTTCTCTTCAAAATTCATGAATCAATTTAACTGAAGAAACCGCATTAACAGCTTTGGGTTCATTAGCACATGCAGTTGTGAAAGGCTGATTGCTGGGAGGGTTTCCTTAGGCAAACAGACTCTGTTTACTGTCTTTCTTCAGAAAGGGGCTTGAAATCACACTGTTAATCATTATTATTGTTACTGTTGTTACGCCTAACTTAAGAAAAGAGAAGGCAGAGAGAAAGGTAGCCTGGTGTCACTTGTAGAAAGTGATTTCAGGGACCTTGTTTTGGGGAAAAAATAGTCAAGCAGCCCTAGATGCTGAAATGATCCCTGCCGTGCTGGCAGAGCACAAAGTGGTGGCTTGTCTCCTATGTTTTGACCCAGGGAGAGATGTGGCCGCAGTGCTCTGAACTTCAGTAAATCAGCTGGAATAAAATGAGGTGGGTAACCCAGCTGGAACAGAGAGTGGGTCCGAGAGATAATGGTACCTCCCAGTGCCATTCACCATGCTCTAGCCTTCAGCGCTGCTTTGATGAATGACTGCCAAATTAGGGCGACCCCTCCTCTTCAGTTGGAAAAGTATCACATAATGGAATGATTATATGCCTGCTTATGAACCAGAGATTCCCAAACATGTTCAGGTTCACTGTTGTTTTGTCACAGAAAACTGTTTCTTAAATGGTATGCACTAGACAATATATTGGGTGGTATAGCTCAAAAGATGTGATATTTCACAATCAAGCATGTTAATTTACAAACACACCTGAAAACTCCATTTCATCCTATAGGAAACAAACGCTTTATTTAGTTTAAATAGCTCTCAAAGACAATGCCTTTGACCCTAACCTGTTCACACTCAGATGGCTTGTACTGTCCCTATTTGCAAAGAGGGGGTCCACAATTTCTATTGGTAAGTATCTTTCTAAAATGTAGGAAAATTTGCCAGTAAAACCAAAACATGTTAATGTAGAAAATACAATTTCTGGAGACTGAAATCATCACACAAGTCCTCAGTGGCCAGCTCAGTCATTTTGGATGAAACCACTAACATATCATCTTTCTCTAGTGTGGGTGTCCCCAAGAGTGAGCCCATGACCCTATGCTGTGGGAGGTGGCCTCTGCAGTCCTCATTCTGGTACTCCTTTCCTGCAGGGCTTTCCTCCTGGTTTCTTCCTAGACGTACCCTTTCTGGAGTCTGTTCTGGGCCCCGGGTACCCTGGCTGTGTTGGCATTGCTGGGGTCAAGATAAGCTCTGCTGGAGGTTGACCTGTGTCTCAGAGTTTACTTGTCTTAAGGCCATGGCTGTTTTTATTTTGTTTGACTGGCCACTTTAACACATGCACTATAACCACCTAACTGAAAAGGACTTCTAAATTCTATCTAGATTGTATGTCATCAGTCAGGAGGCAGGAGGCAAGATGCTGGCCTCAGGAAAACTGTGCTGTGCAATGGACAGTAGGTTCTCATGCACGTGAAGGGGGTGGGTGAGCAGGGCCCTGAGGGGGCCAGGCAGTCTTCACTTGTGTATCTGGATGACATGGTGAGACTGGCTCTGAAAAGGCAGTACCCGTTCAGGGCACTGTGGGAAGAATTAGTCAGGGAGCAGCCTGACCCTGCCCTGCTGTTCTTAGGTGAGTTTCCTTGTCCTGGCTGCTATGAACATCATCATAAGAGCTCCCTCAACAACATGTCCCGTGCCCTGAGAGCACATGGCTGGGCATGGAGCATACTGTCAATGGCAGGGCTGGTTTGGAAGCCAGCTCCCTGTGACACCAGGCTCAGATTCAAATACTGCATGCCTTCCCTGTGAGGCACAGCACTGAACTTCCAAGTGCTTGTCAAAGAGTCTCCTTTCTCTCAGCTACCACAGTTCCTTTGCAGAAGGGTGCAGCTTCCCAAGAAAGGCTGTGATTCAGCAGTCCAGTCCTAGAGGCTATGCCTTGGCCAAGCTGCAGTAAGGGAGACACACTCAAGCAGACTTATGTTACCTGCAGGGCCCTGCCCAAGAACATCTCAGTGGCTGGATGTGGTTGTGGACATGCGTGGTCACAGAGTATAATGCTTCCATTCCTACAGATTCTCCCTATGATAGCTACAGGTGGCTGGGAAGGGGCTCCCCCAGGACCTTGTAACCATGGCACAAATCACAGCTATTTGACCTCATGCTGCCTGATCATCAGGAGCAACCAGAATTGGCTTTTAAGGAAAGCTGAAACACTCTGATGGAGATAAGCAGGGGTTCTGGTTCAGGTCAATGGACATTGTAACTGGTCCCTTCTATAGAACACCTTCACAGGATTTGGCAGAAAGCAGACAGCAGCTCTTGTGAGGGCTGTGAAAAGTCAACAGAAGTGGGCAGACTGGGGAATAAGGTACTGAAATGAAACATTGCCAAAATGATGAGTGGTTTACTGCTTTTCCTGCTATCCCAAGGCTGGATTTACCATAGGCTGAGCTTTGGTGGAGGCACTCCAGGGCTCTAACACCTGGTGGAAGAAAGGGCACCTTTGGTGTTCAGAGAGCATGGAAAACACTTTTTTGTGCCTCTTGGAACTCAGACATCTTGGACTCCTTGAGCAATCCTGTGGTGCTGGCAGAGGAGCATGGTGGCTATAGGAGCCTATGCCCCAGAAGAAGAGACAGGCCTTTCCTGGTGGGAGGAAGTGTGGTTCTAGGAGGGAAAACTCTGTTTTTCTGCTCTTTGGGCCCCAGATTGGGCTCAGTCACCAGAAGTGTGTATCTGAGTGGAGTGAGTAATGTCCTAGTTTTGTGTTCAGGAGACTGAAAAAGGGAACCCTAAGAACTGGAAAGTACCAAGGAGACTGCAAACAATTTTTTTCACACCAAAATGTTATTTATACATTCCTAGATTCATCTGTCCAGGTGAGCTGTGCACCTGTCTCGGTGTACATATGTGGTCCTGATCCTAAATCAAAAACTTTGAGAACTGATGCAAGGGTTAGGCACTGCCAAATGCAAACCAGGTGCGGAGCAGTACATGGGGAGACAGATTAGAAAGGGACTACAAATGGAATGGACACAGAAACCATAATTCAAAGAAGGCCAGTTGGAACTTATACAACTAAATCTAACCAGGTTGACTGCTTCCTAAAATAAAAAAATCAACATTACCCATAGGATTTATGCAAGACTCAGAGTTTTCATAAGGTGGTTGGGCTACAATCCAAAATTACTAAGTATGTAAATAATTAGCAAACTCTTAACTTGCTTGGGAAAAGATAATCAGTACACTCCAAAGCTGACCTGGAACTGGATTCATCTGACAGAAACTTTAAAGGATGTGTTGTAAAAATGCAGTAAGAAGCAGTCAGGTATGGTGGTGGATGCCTCTAGTATAATCCCAACTACTCAAGAAGCTGAGGTGTGAGTTCAAGGCCAGCCTGAGCAACTCAGTGAGACCCAGTGTAAAAGAATGCTTCAAAAAAGGAGAAAATCCTTGCAACAAATAGACACAAAGTTTCAGTAAAGAAATAGGAGGACTAAAGGATAATCAAGTGAGTTTAGTACTGAAAAATAACCCAACATACAAATTATTCTTCATTGGATCAATACTAGAATGGAGATGCAAGAGATAATAGTTAATGAGTTGCACACAAGCCAAAAGAAACTACCCAATCTGAACAAAGAAAAAATGTATTTAAAATAAACAAAAGACC